AATTATTATTTTTTCTTACATTTGCTCAGTGCATTTTTAAAATTTAAAAATTTTTGTTTAAAATATTACATATGTCCCTTTTTCTCCCCAATTACCCATTCCACCCATCTCATCCCCCTTCCCAGTCCCTCTCCCCACCATTGTCCATGTCCTTGGGTTGTGCATATATGCATATAAATTCTTCGGTTAATCTCTACACAGCTCAGAGATTTTAGATGCTTTGTTTACTGCTTACTCCCTCCTGCTTACAACAATGCCCGCACATAGTAGGTTAGCATTTGTGAGGTAGATAAATAAAAACTCCCATTGTGCTTCTAGCAACTTTTTTTAAAAAAAATATATCTTTTTTGATTTCAGAGAGAGGGAGGGAGAGGGAGAGAGAGAGAGAGAGAAACTTCAATGATGAGAGAGTCATTGACGGGCTGCCTCCTGCACGCCTCCCACTGGGATGGAGCCTGAAGCCCGGGCACGTGTCCCGACCTGGAATTGAACTATGATCTCCTGGATCCTCGGTCGACGTTCAACCGCTGAGCCATGCCGGCCGGGCTAGCAACTTCTCTTTATCTTTCTAGAAGCCATGGTTTGTGTGCTCTGTTGTTCTGGTCATAGAGCTCGTATTATTTTTGTACTATCTCAACGCGATCCTCTTTAATCTGACTTAATGATTTGCTCTTAAATTCTGTTTTGTTTTCTTCCCTTCTTCCTCCTCTTCTTCTTACCAAGTCACGGTTTTGTTTTGTTTTCACTGTTGGAAAAACTTCAAAGTGTTTTGTTTTAGGTTCAAAGTATCTTGTCTCCTAAGAAAGTAGGATGGGAGAGCAGGACCTCTAAATGGCCTGGGAGAATTGTTTGTGTCGGGCAGAAGTTCCTAACGTGGTGACCCATGTGTCAAGCCATTAGTCTTGTAGCACTTCAACTCATGATTAATAAAAATAGACAGACACACACGTATCTACAAAACAAACAGCCTCCCAGAACCCCCAACCCCCAGCCGCACCCCCCCCCTCACTCCTCATAGGCCAGTTGGCGCTTACAAGGCAAAGGGAGCTGCTACTGCAGAGGCCTGTGGGCGGCACAGGGCCTGGCCCTTCCGAGGAGCAGAGAAGGCCTGTGAGGCTGGGAGAGGAAGAGAGGAAGTGAGAACGGGAGATGAGAGAGGGAACAAGAGGGGGGTGGGGCATGGATGGCATTTGATGACGGCAGGGAGGCGGCAGGGGACAGCTCAGGGAGGGCATTGTAGGTCAGAGTGAGAAACTAAGTTTTGTTCTAAATGAGATGGGAAGCCACTGAAAGGCTTAAGCAGGAGAGTGATATGATCTAGTTTATATTTTTAAAAGCTTGCTCTGAATTTTGTATGGGAAGTGGATTGCAGAGGGCAAGAAAGAAAGCGGAGAGGCGAGTCAGAATACCCTTGCCATCACTGGGCAAGAGGAGGCCATCCAGGAAGGCACCTGGAAAGGGGGAAGCAGGGACCTGGAGCAGAGGTGGTGGGTGGAG